GAAAGACTGACAGCCACAGCGGAGAAAAGAGTTTGTGTGAACTTTAATGTAAGGACTTAAATATTAACATGTAGCTCACATTAAGCTATCATAAAGCTTCAGAAGTAACAGAATAATTCGCACAGTCGAAAAAAAAATATATAAAAAATCTCGGATTTAGATCGGCCCTCTCGGATACCCAATCCGAGAAAATGGCACTATCGGAGCCGATACCCGATATGAATATCGGATATATACTAATATATAGAAGGTGCACAGAGTCATTCATGCAAACTCAAAACACCATCATGGTGACACACATGATACTTAAATAATGCACTAAACAACAGAAGATGTAACATAAAGCCCAAATATACATAACTAATAACAAAAACTATTAAAAAAACATGATTATTTAAACAAAATACTTTCAAATGTGGAGTGTCATGCAGGGAATTCTGGGAATATCAGTTTACAGTTTTTGACTGTAAATTATACATTGATTTGTTATTTTTACTTCTAAAAACTGTGAAATTAACAGCATTTTACTGTAAAATTACATGAAACGTCTGGTTAGATATTTTACAGTTTTTCCCTGTATATAGTACGGGAACTTACTGTTAACCTATTAACAGTTTTTTTCCGTAGTGTTTTTACAAAATTTTACAGTTAAAATTACACTTATTTTTTACAGTGTAACTGTAATGTAATTACATATTTTTTCTTGGTAACTGTAACTGTAACTGATTACAATTACTTTTATTTTGTAATTAAATTACGTAATTCCGTTACATGTAACTAGTTACTCCCCAACACTGATCATACAGACGTCTTGGACAGGTGTGTTGTGTCAAGTTAAAAGTAGTTATTAGTGCAGCAGCGTCAGCGTTGAAACATTAGACCGATCAAAGCGTACTGAGTGTTTACAATAGCAACTTTAGGTCAGACTGAATGTGGACCTGTCATCAATGTTGTGACTGACAAAAAGAAAGAAAAAAAAAACATGAACGCAAGCATGTTTAGGCGTGTCTGTCTCATTTGAGTTTGAGCTGGTATTACCGTTAAGTTACGCATAGTGCTACGTATTGGTGTTTTACTAATAAAGACCTTTGGTTAAATTAATTCAATAGTGCAGAAAACACCCATAGCCCATAAAAAGAGCATCCACTCAAAGCACAGGTAAACACCCTCCATTCACACGGCCTCCCGAGCAGATCATCCGGTCCAACCGGTCAGTGTTTTAATGATGTTTTCTTTCATTAAAGAGGTTGCTGTTGGTGCATTACCCTTTTCTGAAGCTGCTTAAGTGTTTTGCTCTGCAGGAAGGACTGGAGCGATTGGTGTAATGCAGAATCTCTATCCCTTTAAATCATCGTCACAGGTAACAGTTCATTTGAAAGGATAATTATCTGACCCTGAATGCCATAATGCTGTAATCATCCTCTTATTAAAAGCCACATCAAATGCACATTGAGTTTTCAGTCACTTGACGTGCATTAGTCTATAAATAATAATTCCTCAAACTCCCAGCAAATCATAATGTACATTTTGATCACTGTTCTTGATTTTGGCCTTGTTTTTTGTTAAACGTAAACACACACTCACACACACACTCACACGCACTCGCACGCACTCGCACGCGCACACACACACACACACACACACACACACACACACACACACACACTCTCGCTCTCTCTCACACACACACACTCTCTCTCTCTCTCTCTCTCTCTCTCTC